ATACCAAATAACTTTCTTTCCACTTGTATTTTTCCCCTGCCAAAATTACAGCACGGACTCTGTAATAGGCCTTTCAACTTAATTTTCATATATTTTTTTTTGGGGGGAAAAGTTTTTTTTTGGGCTCATAGGAGCATGAAATATTATTATTAAACTGTGTTTTACTTGTGTAATGACTGAAACAATAAAAAAATGAGAAATTCTTTTATAGGTTTGATTTTCTTCTGTTTTTAAAGAAGGATAACTCAAAGCTTCAAACATTGACAAAGATAAGTGTTGCAAGAGTTACCTTGCATAGAAATAATATAGTCTGTTTCTATCTTTTGTTCTTACTAATTACCTTAATTAGCTACATGCATTATAAAATAGTAAAATTAGATGTTTTAGATATAATAATACATCTCAAAAATTTATCTCAGAAAATATCATTTCCAAGATGAAAAAAATAACAAATTCAACATCCAATGTGCATCAGCATCTCAAAATTAATTGATTGTTCAAATGCAACTGAATTTGCACAGCATTTGGATCCTTTTGTGTAATTAGCACACCGACTTTATTGAAAGCGAGGCTTACTTGGCGTGGTGGAATGGAAGATGATGGCGGTGTTCAGCAGAGGATCTTTGTGGAGAGAAGTCAATTTATTCTTTGAAATCTGAAAGATAATAAAATCATTGATTAGAATCTGAAAAGATACACATTTGAAAATATTTTTAGATACTTGAGTAATCAACCTTACGATTTGTTGATCTATTTATAATGCCTATTGGCCTAGTGCATATACATAATGATAAAACGCTGTTTTCTTTAATATTTGACAGTTAAATATAAATATTTATTTTTAGGAGATACCTCAGGCAAAATTAAAAATATACAAATTAGAATGAAAAAATGCAATAATGGAAGGATTGACAGATATACATGCTTCATTTTGTGAAAATGGTGAGGATTTACAGTAAAACAGGAAACAAAGAAGGATGATGGGAGAAACAAAATTACAGGTATTTCATGCATTTTATGTGACTGTTTTCCCCCAAGCATTTAGTAAGTTACTTTTGTGCATACCATACATCGGTGAATAGCATCTAACAATAGAAGTCCTTTTAATCAGGTCCAATCCAAGTATATTTCTACCTATAAATAGATACGTAGATATTTAAACCTACTTAAAGTAACAATTTTTTACGTACGTTTTGCTTTATTTACATTTTCTGGCAAATCTCAGGGACTGCGCAATATAGTGAGCACCATGCAGATTTCTTAATACAGTCTGACTCTGAGTCACTGATGATGAATACAAAAAGATTTTGGTCAAATGATCAATTTGTAAAGAATCAATATATATTGCATAAATTACTATGCAAAATTGTTGATTTACAAAGTAATTTTTTTTTTGCCTGAATTTTGTCGTATTCATCAACAGTATGGCTCTGTTTTTAGATTTGATGCTCATCATATTGTGCCGTTAATGCGTTTGGCCACAAAATGTAAATAGCAAAAAGTAGGTAAAAATACTACCAAGGGCACAATAGCAAAAAGTAGGTAAAAATACTACCAAGGGCACTTTGGGTAGGTTAAAGTACCTATGTAGCTACATAGAAATAATCTTTGGACTGGTCCTGTTAATTAAAGCTGACATGAATTCTTAAAAAACGCAACATTTTCATCTATGTACGACTTGTTTCACACCAACTATAGCCGTATTCCGCCATATTTCTTTCAGATACCTTGTCTCATTGTAACGATATATACCCCAAAGCGCTCGTTACACTTGAATGATTTTTTGGTTTGGGTATCGACTTGTGCACATCTCTGATGGTAAAGCATATGAGAACACATGAGGTGATCAAGACATTTCAAAACTACAATAAACGACATGATAATCATATTTCTGAATAATTATTGATTTGAATCAAAAGAAAAAAATGCAAGTGTGGAAGAAAAATTCAGATGTACGAATACGTATTTCTACAGTGCGCCAATTTATGCAGAATAAACTTGAAATAAATAGCAGTAAAATGTGCAAACACATTTTGAAATTATATCATTTAAATGGAACAAAACAACCAACGTCTTTGATTTGCAGCTCCTATGCAATTGATGCATATCGAGAAAACGCCTCGAACGCTTTAAACGTACCCATACCTGGAAATAAGGTTACTGCATCGGTTCGAAGATGTGCACAAGTCAAGTGATATACACTCTGAATTCCATTTATTGAAATATGCATCACAAAAAAGAAATAAACTCCGTAAAAGCTCAATAGTAAACAGGTAAACACACTGTCATTACTCCGTACAGACTAGCACGTCGATACACTTAGTCCGTGCTGATCAGATTTTGGTCAGGGAAAATATCATAAGTGGAAAGAGGTTATTTGGTATTTGCGCGGCTGAAGGGGGGGGGGGAGGTATTATAACTGCTGTTCATAAGCTATTATTGTGAATTGTCTATCTACATGTAGTTCTAATAAACATTCTATACAAAGTAATGTGTATAGTCTGCAGTTCGTTTGCGTCGCAAAATTCATTTTTCAATTATAACTGATTGTTTTAGTAATAATCTCAAATCTAAACCAAGTAATTTGATGTACGGTAATTATTTACTTCAAATCTTAAAAGCAATTAACCTGAATACAAATTTTTTATGTGTACATCTATACGCTCTTTAACACACAAACACTCGGAGAAATACCATCCCCTGTCCAGATTGACATTTAGACATTTGATTTTTTTTTAGGCGGGGGGGGGGGGGGGTTATTTAAATATTCTTGGAAGACAGACATTTCTACCGAATTAAAATTTGAGATTTTTTAAAAATGTGTCACTCCGACCACAAAGTATGTGCATTTTGAGGAATGTAATTGTTTTATAATTATGTTGTTATAGAGAGTCTTTCGAGATTTCAGTATCCCTGCTTGATAGTCTAGCTATTTTTTTAGGTCACCTGAGTAAACTCAGGTGACCTATTGCTATCTGTTTTCGTCCGTCGTCGTTCGTCGTACGTCGTACGTCGTTCGTAAACTTTTGAACATTTTCAGCTTCTTCTCTGCAACCACTGAACCAATTTCAACCAAATTTGGCACAAAGCATCTATGGGTAAAAGGGAACAAAAATTGTGAATTTCATGATCCCTGCCCCCCTGGGGCCTGAGGGGTGGGGCCAAAACCACTAAAATTAATGCAATCTTTGAAAATCTTCTTCTTTACTCCTGGACATCAAGCAGTCAAACTGTTTGCATGATTGTAATCAGCATTGAGTCCTCTACCAAAATTGTGAAATTCATGGCCCTGGGATCAGGGGTTCTAGTGCTAGGGCAGGGCTAAATAAGTAGGTAGTGATAATGCATTATTTCTTTGAAAATCTTCTTCTCTGCTCCAGGGTATTAAATAAACCAACTAAGTAGTTAGTTATGATGAGCAAGAGTGCTTCTACCAAAATTGTGAATTTTATGGTCCCAGGGTCAGGGGTTCTGGTGTTAGGGCGGGGCTCTCTTGATTATATACATTGAAAATACATGATTTCTTTGAAAATCTTCTTCTCTGCCCCTGGGTATTAAATAAACTAACTAAGTGCATAGTTATGATGAGCAAGAGTGCCTTTATCAAAATTGTGAATTTTATGGCCCCAGGGTCAGGGGTTTTGGTAGGGGGGGCTTTATAGATTATATAGTAAAAATACATGAATTCTTTGAAAATCTTCTTCTCTGCTCCTAGATATTAAATAAATTAACTAAGTGCATAGTTATGATGAGCATGAGTGCCTCTATCAAAATTGTGAATTTTATGGCCCCAGGGTCAAGGGTTCTGGTAGGGGGGGGGGGGGCTCTATAGATTATATAGTAAAAATACATGAATTCTTTGAAAATCTTCGTCTCTGCTCCTAGATATAAATAAATTAACTAAGTGCATAGTTATGATGAGCATGAGTGCCTCTACCAAAATTGTGAATTTTATGGCCCCAGGGCCAAGAGTTCTGGTGTTAGGGTGGGGCTCTATTGATTATATAGTGAAAATACACAAATTCTTTGAAAATCTCCTTCTATGCTCCTAGGTATTAAATAAACTAACTAAGTGCATAGTTATGATGAGCATGAGTGCCTCTACCAAAATTGTGAATTTTATGGCCCCAGGGCCAAGAGTTCTGGTGTTAGGGGGGGGGGGGGGCTCTATTGATTATATAGTGAAAATACACAAATTCTTTGAAAATCTCCTTCTATGCTCCTAGGTATTAAATAAACTAACTAAGTGCATAGTTATGATGAGCAAGAGTGCCTCTACCAAAATTGTGAATAATTTTATGGTCCCTGGGTCAAGGCTTCTGGTGTTGGGGGGGGGGGGGGCTCTATAGATTATATTGTAAAAATACATGAATTCTTTGAAAATCTTCTTCTCTGCTCCTAGGTATTAAATAAACTAACGAAGTGCATAGTTAAGATGAGCAAGAGTGCTTTTACCAAAATTATGAATTTTATGGTCCCAGGGTCAGGGGTTCTGGTGTTAGGGTGGGGCTCTGTTGATTATATAGTAAAAATACATGAATTCTTTGAAAATCTTCTTCTCTGCTCCTAGGTATTAAATAAACTAATTAAGTACATAGTTATGATGAGCAAGAGTGCCTCTACCAAAATGTGAATTTTATGGTCCCAGGGTCAGGGGTTATGGTGTGTGGGGGTGGGGGGGGGCTCTATTGATTATATAGTGAATATACATTAAATCTTTGAAAATTTTCTTCTCTGTCTCTGGGTATGAAGCAGATGAACTACCTAAATAGTTATGATGAGCAAGGGCCCTAATCTTGCAAAATTTTGAATTTCAAGGCCCCAGGGTCAGGGGTGGATGTGGGGCTCTACTTATATACTGAAAATGAATTAATTGTTTGAAATCTGCTCCTTTGTATTTATAAAACATTTATTTATTTTTTGATAGGCAATTTTAACGGTGCCTTTTTAAAATTTGTGCAGTGTGTGGACCTAGGGTCAGGGGTTTATTTCACAGTGTTAGGGGCATTACTGATTATTGCTGAATATTACTGATTAGTTGGAATGCATTTTTTTCCCCCTACCTTGCGTATGGGTATTCAGTACCCCTGCGAGGTGATCATGAATAATTCATGAATTACCTTGAATTTTTCATGAATTTTATTCATGAAATGTTCATGAAACGTTCATGAAGATCCTATGAACTTATTATTGGGCATATTTAAATCAATAAACCAAGCTAAGCAACTGCTAAGTGTATTGTTATGATGATCAATGGTGCCTCTTTCAAAATTGTGAATGCCATATAGCATCTGGCTTAAAACATGAATCATAACTGGAAAGTTGTTGCAGAATGCTCAGGTGACCTATAAGGCCCGTGGGCCTCTTGTTTAATATAAAAATAATTTCTCTAGGAGTATTTGGGAGATAAGCTAGGGTATGGATATTTGACACTGGTTGAATACGGATAATTTTTATTTACTATTTTGTATAATGAACTCTCTCTCTCTCTCTCTCTCTCTCTCTCTCTCTCTCTCTCTCTCTCTCTCTCTCTCTCTCTCTCTCTCTCTCTCTCTGTAACCATCCGTTAGGGCAATAATAGGTATAAGATCCTAAGATCCTACGCATTTTGTGCTGTACCATTTATTTAGCCTTAGGACAGATCAAGGATTTTTTCAGGCCAGATGTCGAAACTTCATAAATTCAATAATAATTTTAATTTGGACAAGAAGTTAATCCAAACGCCCAATATGAAAGAGAAACTAGAGATATTGTGAGCAATGAGCTCACTAAATGATACCCCCGCCTTTCCATATGGTTATAATGGCAAAGTCCATATTTTGCTGTTGTCGCTAAACCCAAAATACTGTCGGGTCAAAAAGTAAAATAGGAGGTGCCCAATGGTAATATGTAATAAACCTAAGATTCTGTGGAAATTTCATTAAATTTCACTAAGTGTTATAAGAAGATTTGCGGATAAGAGATGGGTACCCCAAAGCGTAACAGGCAGACGGACGGACATAACGATTACTATATACCCTCCAACTTTTCAAGCAGGGGATATAATAAACGTGAAATATACATCACTTGAATGGGTACATTGGGCACTTTCTCAAATACCTTCTCAAATGCATCGGCGTCGGAAGCAAATTGAAAGTGTAGGGGCTACAATATGTAAGTGCAAAGAATTTTTTTTCATACATTCAAGAAAATCTGACAAGCTTAATAAAAATGAATATTAATGCCCTTTTCCAAAACGCGAAAATTCTATTCCGGGGGGGGGGGGGGGGGGGGGTGTAGGTTCGAACTTAAAATTGTTCTCCAAACACCAACACTTTCCTTTTTTTCTTTTAAACCTATGCTGCGACTTGTGGGGGGAGAGGGGGGGGGGGGGGGGGGGGGCTAAACCTACGCAGCAATGTTCAATGTCTATACTACATGTAAGTATATATTTGTAACCCCCCCCCTCCGGTTCCGACGCTTATGCTCAAACGTACGTGTCGAACCTAGACCTGGACAACAGACAAGTGAATTTTTAAAAAGCTAATTGTAGGTAGGATGTGCAATTCTTACGGGGTGTTTTCTCTCTATATATATATATATTTATATGCTTTTCCTAATAATCATTAATCATCTATGTCTAGAAATTTAATTCACATGAAATTATATCATATTTTCATTATCATTGTACCACAGAATCAAACTCGTTTATTATACCCCTCGCAACAAGTTGCGTGAGGTATAATGGTTTTTGACCCCTCAGTCAATTTTTTTTTTTTTTTGGTCAGCACAACTTCTCATAAACCACTGCACAGAGTTTTGTCAAACTTTGCAGATAATTATAGGAGACAATATGTGTACCGGTATTTGCACATCACCAGGAAATTCCGAATTCTTTATTATTTCGGGAATATTTCCGCACTGTTACATTTAGATTTTGGCCATATCTTGAATATAGAGATGAGCAGTTTTTCAGCGCAATTCCTCATAAACCGCTGCAAACAATTTCGTCAAACTTCGCAGATATATAGGACACAATGTGTATAGATGTACATAGCACAATGAAACAGCACTTCGACTTTTGGGGGAGCGTGAGGTATGTGAACTTGCTCACTTTTTCTTCCCGGCATTGTGCATAAAATTATAAATCACTTTGAATAAAATTATATTAGGTCTAATAAAGCCAATACACAGTATTTATTTGATAATAATTAATCATAAATGAATCCAATCTGTTTCAGACGTTTTTATTAAATTATTTTTATGAGAATGTTAATATGCATGTTTTATCCCCCCCCCCCCTCCTATCACAGGAAAACATCTTCAAAAGGTGAATGATTCGTAATAACGCATGCTTTATTTTAGATTTAATAAAGTTAAGCCATGTAATCATAAATTTTATTTACAAATTTACAGACAAGAGTAATGTTTATTTTTGAAAAAAAATACTTCCATTTTTTTCAATCAACCCCACTGAGCTTTCCCTTTGATATTTTCCCTGACCAAATAAAATGATCAGCATGGACCACGTGTGTCCAAGCATCTTTTACTGTTGAGTTAGCAATGGATTACATGACTTCTGAGATGCATTTTTGAATAAAAGTAAAATGGGATAATTCTTTCGACATGTGCACATCCCTGTAACGATAGCAGTATTTTCAGGTAAATGTTTTATCACTGTGTTTGACGCGTTTTCTCGACCTGCATGGGTTTTTCCTGTACATGAATGTATTCCGTGTAAGTGTATTTTCTATCAAAAATAATTTAATTCTCGGTATAGTTCTATTTTTTGTTGAATTCTTTCTTTTCAAACATGTATTTGGTCAGTTTATGGGCTTCTAAAAACTATGCTATCGGAGATGTGTACATGTCGACAGCCAGGCTAGAAAATCACTCAAGTGAAACAGTTCTACAGCGCTATATATAGCAGGTACAGGTGGCCAAAAATCTTCGATTAAATATGGCGGAATCGAACAAATATGTCGGACAAGGGCGTACAGGAATGTAGTAAGTCGTACAAAGATGAAAACTGATGCCTTTTTAAGAGTTCATGTCAGCTTTAATCAAACCATTCTTAAAATGAATAGCTTGAATCTGATGATATTTCTAATGGTTTTTTTTGTATGGTCTGCACAGTTACCATGATACCCAAATGTGAGATTTTTTTGTGAGAATTGAATTTTTTTCTGAACTGTCATTTTTTTACCATAAAAACACTTTATCACAGGTTGTTTCTTATGATGTCTATGACGCCTTGTCACAAAGACCAGTACTCTGATGAGATGTGGGAGCCGGAATAATGCCAATAAGGAGGAGGTAATTAGAGACTAGAGTTTAAATTGAATGAAGTTTTCCTTTGGAACTGAAGAGAGTAAGATGTTTTTTGTCTGTAGGTATTTCTTTCATATATACAGTTTTTATAGCATTTATTTTTTCTTTCACAGCGGCAATTTTTTCCTTTTTGGTAGAAAAGCATCTTAAAGCACGCCAAGTTTCATCCTCTGATTTCCATAAATTTTGTAAATGTTGTTTTGAAATTATTTCTTTTTCCTGCTGTTTTTCTCTTTTCTTGGCGATTTCTTTTTGTTTTTCTCTGATTATGTTGATATGCTTTTGGTGTAATGATTTTTGTCTCTGTTTTGCTGTCTGGAGGTACGATTTATTTAATTTTCTAGCTTTTGTGATAATTTCTGAAGTTGATTTTTTGGAATTTAGCCACTCATGAGTTTTGTTGTTTTTGTACATGACGATACTTTCAATGTTATTTGTAGATACAATTGGTGCTTGTTTAACACAGTTATCTAATTTTGCCATAAGTCGTTCAACAGTTATATTACTTGCAGGGCAGGAAGCAGTTTCTGGAAGTGAATTTGAAGATGATGAGAAAAACTTTCCATTTTCCAAAAAGTCACTAAAGAGTTTGACACATTTGACACGGAGAGCCTTACAGAATATGGAAATGAAATCTAATGTAAGTGAATCAAGATCAGATTCTTGGAAGAGTTCCAGCTCAATGTCACTTAGAAGATTAGATGGTCCTTCCAGTAGAGACACTGAATTGTGAAGGAGGAGATGTGGGTTGTCAGAACAGCATTGGAGGAGTTCAACGAGTCTTCTGTAGATGGTGCCCATGTCGCTTGCACACATGTTATTGTCTTCTGCAATACTCATGTAAGGTTCTGTAATTTTGATGGAGAGTATACCAAGACATCTCACTATTGCCAGAATGAATTTATTTTGTAAAGCACAAAGAATGAATTTCTGCACCTGATTTAAAGACGGTTTTGTAGAAGAAAGATATTGCAAAATGTGTTTTTTGAGATAGAATGTTCTTGCAGAATTGAAGAAAACAGTATTGAATCTAGTGCCTCTGTGATTCATGATAGGAATTTTTGAAATGTTGAGAGTATCTTTAATGTAGGTGGACGTAAACAGAGGATCTCCAGGGCCATGGAAAAGTTTAGACACGGAACGCAGAAGATAAGACGTGTTTGATTCAGACCAGGAAGAGGAATTTATATTTAATTTGTGTTCTTTTTCAATGTTACTTATTTCCTTAAGACAGACATCTGAGAATTGGAGAAGGGGGTGAACTGCACATTTAAAAGAATGGTATTTGTCGTTATTTACACTGGATCCAAGAATTTTGTTAACTTTTTCTTCGGTTGCACTCCTATCCGTCATGAAATTTGAATTTTTTTCTAAAATTTGACCTTGATCTGAACTGACCGTATCATCCAAAATTTCGTTGGTGCAGTCGACATATGTGGAGCTTTTGGAATCGGCTACTTCTCTTAAACCCATTGTGAGAGTTTTTTGATTTGTTGATACCTCAACCCCATAAAAGTGCCTTCCTTTTTTGTGGTACACAGCCAATTGTGCCTAACATTAAATTAACATGAAAATAACGTTAATTTAACGTTGAATATTTAACGTTAAATTAACGTCAATCGAGCTTATACATGAATTTGACGTTAAAAAATTAACGTTAAATTAACGTTATTTTCATGTTAAATTAACGTTAAGCGTTAAATTAACGTTAATTAGTTCACACTAAATTAACGTTAAAATTCATAAAAATTGTGTGCATATTTTTGGAATTTTCCTTCGTATTCTTCCAGAAAAATAAATGTTCTTGCATCATAGCAGAAGCTTAACTGCTACTACATGTAATCATAATTATTTCTCTAAAGGTACACCAGAAGCTCATCAATTTTGCACTTTTCCTTGTAGCACTGCAGAAAGCTAGGCTTGCATGTTGACTTCATCCCTGGTGTCACTTTCTTTTCAATTTGAATATATCCAAAAGGATAAAGGGACCCATCAGCTCTTTCAACAAAATCTCTAAAATTCTGAGCATTGCCTCCGATTTCAAATTTTCTGAAGAAAAGAGAAAAACACCAATTCATCCATTAATACTTTTAATCAGGCATATTCAATACAATGCTACAAATCTTCTTTCTTTTTCCAATCTGAAAAAGAAGAGAGGCAAACACATATATTATAATAATTATATGAAAATAAAATACTTCAGCAATACATTAACAACTCAAATTTGTCTAAAATATTATGAATGAAACAAGAGGCCCATTGGCCACATCCCTCACCTGAGCACATGGGCCAGCTAAAAACACAGATCAGTTAAGTATTGAGAAGCTTACTTTATACTTATTAAGGGAGGGGGATTTGAATTTTCTATTACTTGAAAATGTCACTATTACAATACAGCATACATATATTATTTTGCCATACTTGAAAAGAAGATTTTTAAAGATTTTTCCAACACATTACCTGATCTCCCATAGTGACCCCTCGCTAACCCCCAATCCCCTGGGCATTATTTGAATAAATTTAAATTTTTACTACTTGCAGATCATGTCAATTTGACAAAACAATTTTTTTCTGTTCTGGAGAAGATTCTTTTTCCTATGTATTCTTATGCAGGTCTGTGATCCCTCATTGTGCCCACACCTTAACCCCGGGGGTCATGATTTGAACAAATTGAATCTACATTTAGTACCTATGGATGCTTCCACATCACATCATGAGATTAATCATTCCTGTCCTAATGGTTCTGAAGAAGATTTTAAAAAGATTTTTCCTATGCATTCCTATGTAAAATTTTGGTTGGCCATTGTGGCCCCATCCTACCCCCGGGGGTCATGATTTGATCAAACTTGAATCTACACTACCTGAGGATGATTCCACATAAGTTCAGAGAAGATTTTAAAAAGGTTTTTCCTATGCATTCCTATGTAAAACTTGGGAACAAAGAAGAAAGTACGGTATGCGCAAAAATCCGCCCTGTCCCAAATTCTAATTAAATTGTTCTTGAAAGATGTTTAGAGTGACCACTTCCTAAATCATTTTAATTTTTGTTATTATCTCAAACCATTTCTCCTAGAGAGCTCTTTAAATATAGGATGTTTTCGTAAGAAAATAACGCTATGACGTGATGACGTCAACTTGACGTTATCGGATTTCAATGTTTTAATCCCGATGCAGCGCAAAAAAAATGAACTCAAAAAACAAGCTACAAGTTACTCTTCTGTTTCCTTTGTGAGCTATTCTTAAAATGTAAACCGCGTTTAATATTTGCTGAATTCAAAAATTAATTTTCTTTACTTGAAATACCGCTATTGTTGGTCATTGATTTTGCTACTTTTTCCGAGAAAACGATTCATCAAGAAAGGCGATGGAACATGATTTATAGCTTGAAGAATTTTATGATCACGAATAAATCTTAAGGTCATTGGCAACGAAGGGTTTCCGGAGAAAAAAGGTTTATACCCAGGTTTCTTTACTTATGAAAAAAAGTCATTGAGAGTGATCTCCCGTATGGAAATCTCTAGGCGCTGAAAACAAAGAAAGCATATGTAACAGACTGAGAGGTAAACAAAAGCACGTGTGTTTTTTTATCGGATATATTCAACTCTACAGTAATAAAAGAAAAGCAGCGATGGGTTTGTTTACATTGTGTTGAGGGGGCAGACAGTTAACAGGTCGTCATTTAGAATAGGTAAATGATTGCTGGGAAGTGCAAAGGTGTGAAATAATTATGCTGAAAGTGTTGATAGCTAGGTAGACCGAATGAGAACGATTCCATAAGTTATGTGAATGATGCACCATTAAAAAGTTACTATGAATCCTTGCAAAAATGTTTTTTGACAATTTGTTTCCAATTAAGTGAATTATAGAATAGAAACAAACAACCACTCTCTTGATCATTATGAATATTGATTAGATGTTATTACAGTAAAGGGAAGTAACTCAAAATTAAAGAACAGTGCTGGTATTTCTGTGTTTTGTTTCAATATTCGCATTTTCAGTCAAATTATATGCATGTCATCGGAAGTAAGGTTTCAACAATGTGTTTTATGTATAAACCTTATGAAATAAATGGGTTTTAGAGAAAACGTATGGTTAAAAATAATATAGGCCCATTTTATCAACATTTTACATAGGAAATGCATTGAAAATTGTAAAAACATTGATTTGACAAAATCGTTAAAGGAAGGCTGGCTTGATGGGTAAAAAGGACCTGAATTGAACATGTTTGGTACCATTAAACCTGTTCAAAAAATCTTGAAAAATTCTATACGAAAACCAGAAACGTTACCAATGTCCTTAAACTTCTGAATGAATGATATATCTTTCTTTTATTCACGTTGTTTTGTGTGTGTGAGGGTGTGTGTGTATACAGTTTAAGTTTGTAAATAGAAAACAAACACGAGGACATAAATGAAATACAGGCCCCAGTGGCGCATTTAAGGGGGGGGGCACCTGGCGCGCCCCCCCTAAAATTGTCAAACTTAACGTAAATCACAGTTTCGTCTAGAAAATGTAAATATGTATACTTGGTACGCCTCATTTTTACCCCACAAAATCTCTAGAATCCATGAGATTCCAGACCCCTTGCCTACATTTGGCACCCCCTCTAACTTGAATTGCTGTATCCGCGCCTGGGCACGTAGCATCGTTTTTGAAAGTGTGGGGGAGGGGGGTAACCAGAGAATTTTGTTTACTTACCAGAAAAAGTTGACAAGCAAAAAAAAAACAAACAAACAAACAAACAAACAAAAAAAATAAGACAATTTTCAGTTTCGGCTTTTTTTTATGCGAATACAAAAGTTCACATGAACTTATTTTTTTCAACATTACAAAAAAGTGTGCAAAAACATTCAAAAGAGCTACGATGTCTTTTTTGTAAATATTTTGCATTGAAAAGTCCCTTTCTGACAAGTCACGTGAAATCATTAATCCACCCTTTGGATTTTCAGCATTATTGAATCATGGTTAGTAACACCCCCTCCCCAAACACACACCCCGACCTCCCCTTTTTCTTGAATCACACGTAATGCACATTCTTTACTGCCATCATGTTCACTAAATGAGAATATCTAACCTTAGTTTTTTTAACGATGTCTTTTGTTTAATTTTTATATCAGATCCTTGTTATGCCCCGAAATTCTGGAACATAACCTTGCACAGTAGCTATCAGAATTTCGGAGCAAAAAAGAGATCTGATTTAAAAAATTCTCCAGAGGTTAAATATCGATATATCATTAATAATTATGCTCCATTGACATAACAATGCTTTAAAATTAAAATGTGGAATATAGATTCTTCAGAGTTATACTGGCACGTAGCAAGTTTTTCCAAACATTACGGCTTTTACTATTGAAAATGTTCATTGAAAGGCTGGGTCCCTCTCTCCCCCCCCCCCCCCCCCCCAGCTTTTACTACGGTAAAGTGATATAAGGGAAATATAGTACCTTATACCAAACAAATAGATATCACCGGGATATTTCCTGAGTACAAAGAACAATAAATTTGGCAACGGTATCTCCCCTGTTGCAAACAAACATTACTTTGGCAAAAATATTTTGACAAATAAAAAGTATGTAAACCACAAAGTTGTCAAAAAAAAAAAAAAAAAAAAAAAAAAAAAAAACAGATAAAGTTAAGGGGAGATCACCGGGATATTTCCTGAGTACAAAGAACAATAAATTTGGCAACGGTATCTCCCCTGTTGCAAACAAACATTACTTTGGCAAAAATATTTTGACAAATAAAAAGTATATAAACCACAAAGTTGTCAAAACAAAAAGCTGCCAATATTTTTAAACAAACAAAGTATTCAAAAAGGAAAAAATTAATAAAATGACAAGACAAAAGTTGCACGATGGCAAGTAAGATGGCACAAGGTATATATTATGATAAATAAATTACAAAACATGATTTTGAGACTACAATATGGAGTATGAAGGGGGACGGAGGGTGGGTAAATTTCTCAAAACAAATTTGTGAATTTCTTGGCACTTCTAAATCAGTGAAAAGACGCTATCTTGTGTCACGTGATTTGAATAAGCGTTACGATTGGCTAATTACAACTTTTTTCTAAAGGAGACAGCTAATAACACAATAAGACTCAAACAAACATGAAAGTTGAACTACATTACATCATAGATTACATAAAGGCTATTATTTAGAATAATGCTGTATTATGTAACCCTAGTGATCTGGCTAGACTACCGCAAAAGTTGAAATATAACAAACAATGTATACTGAGTGAGAATTGTCATTTATTAAATGACAATAAGTATATAACACAGATAAAGTTAAGGGGAGATCACTGGGATATTTCCTGAGTACAAAGAACAATAAATTTGGCAACGGTATCTCCCCTGTTGCAAACAAACATTACTTTGGCAAAAATATTTTGACAAATAAAAAGTATATAAACCACAAAGTTGTCAAAAAAAAAAGCTGCCACCAAAAGCAAACGTTGCCAAATTTATTGTTCTTTGTACTCAGGAAATATCCCGGTGATCTCCCCTTAACTTTATCTGTGTTATATACTTATTGTCATTTAATAAATGACAATTCTCACTCAGTATACATTGTTTGTTATATTTCAACTTTTGCGGTAGTCTAGCCAGATCACTAGGGTTACATAAATAGATATTGAAGAAGTCGGCACCTGAAAAAAGGTGGCCTATCTGAGCTAAAAATAAATACGAGATTGGGAGTTATTTATTAAGATGATATTCGGTATCTACGTTCAAATTAAATTTTTTCTCGAATTTAAACTTAAATATTCCCAAGTTTCTGTTGGTTAGATTGACTTCAAACTGTGTCAAATATTTTGAATGAATATGAATGAAATGAATATATGTTATTGTTTAAATCTCGGATATCTATGAAACGCAATTGATTTAAATTGTGTAATTTACAGGAATTCCGATCTTTATATAAAGTATTCTTAAACGAATATACATGTACAAGTACTTTGTGAACATTGCATCTAAATCTAACTTTTTTCACAACACTCCTTTACAATGAATATACCTTTACAAGATGATGTGACACGGATTAATGAGAACTAAGTTTATTTAACTTTTATTTAACTTTATATATCAAAGGGAACAGTATGTCTGAAATATGTTACAGCTCTTTTCCCCAGACACAAAACATTTAATAAAAATTGGAACTGATCAGGAGTGGCAATATATTTCACTAAGGCCGCCGTGCTGAGCATTTTACCGGTAAATATGACCCCCCCCCTATTTTAATACAATAATTGCTTAAACAAACCCCCCTAATTCAAAATGCCCCCCCCCCTCCCCCAAAAAGTTTTGTGTTTCAATTTTCTTCTTAAAAAGTGACTTATATTTCGCTTCCCAAGTCCGTTAATTATCATTTGACGTTTCAGGGATCCCTGACAGATAAATAATGACAGTCATTTTAGTTTATATAATTATGTGGCAATTTTAATTTACTAGAAAGGTGAAAATAGGCCTTTTTCTTTAATTCATCGTGTAGTATGTAAAAAAAAAAGTCTCTTAAAATAAAGGCTGGTGCATTCAAAAGTTTATCCAGAGGTGCAATAAGCAACAAATATAGAGCGTGAAATTAAATATCAACATTTTCAGACTATCATTTTAATACTAAACATCTGGCTGGGGGTGGGGGGTGGGTGGGGGGTTATAATATATGCATGTTCGTTTATACGAGAATGCAACCATATATACAGAATATTGATAATTTTGAACAGATCTTGCAAAGGGTTATTGTAAGTGTTTTAAAATAATAAAAAAAAAATAAATTATGAGAAAATCAAACTGGATCTATTGTGACGTCATCGTTTGCGTTATTACGTAATTTATTCACACCTGCTGACGGGTAGCTTTGAACTCTCTCAGTTTCCAAAATAAAATCCAGGCCCTTTTTCTTCTTCTGTGCTAATACGATTAATCAAATTTACATTTATTTTTATTTCAGTGTCTTCGTTGGTTCTTTATCCTTATTCAAAGTATTTGACAGATGCAGGTTACACATCGCAGGGTCCATTGTAATCTGCCTTATTATTCTTACATATTTTCCAGGCTTGTATGCTATTTTTCATGACTAATAGACTACCATGAAAAATAAATATATATTGCCGATGCATAAAGTATTAATTTATTAACATTTTATGAGCTATGGTGACTTAATTTAAAATAAATAAAATTACACCTCTCAATGAGCTTTCAATCCGCCACCGGAAATACTGATGTAAAGTCAAAATAAACATACTGCACATTCCTCGAGCAAAATTTTATCGCTGTTTTCATCCGTCTTTCATCAAAATGTTTTGAAATATACGTTTTATTTTGCTCGAGGGATGTGCACTACTTCAATTTTAGAAATATCTGTTAAAAATAGTGGAAAAACTAGCAATTTCCGGAGAAAACGGATCTTTACACGTTGTGTATACGTCTAAATAACGGAGTTTGGAAATTTTGCTTCGCATATTTTAAGACAACCAAACTTCTAGTATATGCACACAGACTTTATAATTTGGTAATCCTGTGTATTAAATTACGGAAAATAGTGAGCCTCCGTATAATAAGTAACGTACTTAATTCTTTGAATCTACACTACAGGGGTCAAGAGGTCATAGATGTGCGTATCGATAAATGTTCAACGGAATTTCACAGTGACGTTATAAAGGGTCGACACGCATTCAATGTCTTGTATACATGTACATGCCATTGGTTTTGAAAAATAATGCATTTAGGATGTTAAAAGCCACAAACAGCGTGATCAGGCAAATATAAAGTATGAATAAGTCACAAATGAAAATATAAGTAATAAGGTATCATTTTAAAACATCCAACAGGCTATAAATACGGGTTGGTACGAGATTAAATTCATTATAAAGCCCTTCAGGCTTTATGGAATTTAATCTTGTAAGTCATGACCAACCAATATTTATGTCCGGATAGAAGTTTAAAAATACCTTATTTCTTAAGTAAGACTGTACGTCCATTGTGCCCCCCCCCCCCCCTGGGTTGAAGAGGCTTGAAAGTACACTATCTGAGGATGCTTCCATTTAAGTTCCATCTTTCCTGGCCCAGTGGTTCTTGAGAAGAAGTTGAAAATGTGAAAAGTTAACAGATGGACAGACAGATGCCGAAGAAAATGTGATCTGAAAAGTTCACTTGTGCTTTCGGCTCAGGTGAACTAAAAAGCTACTAGTATTCAAAAACTATATACTTCCATATATATTACTATACAGAGAGACTGGCAAACAGACATTGTGTTTCCAGTATACTTTCAAAAAAATTTAGGGGTGACATATTAAATGGGTTTAAATATTTGATATGTGTTCAGAATAAATGCACTTTACCTGGTATTTTGAAAATTGCTTAAGGTGATGAAATATATTCACTTTCTTGTGATTATCATGTTAATGTCAGCAAGACTTTATACTGAGTTAACCTACAATTATAAAAAAATAATAATTAAAAATCATTTATTTGAAATGTAATATCTTCAACATATATGATATTCATAGATAGAAACCAAATTTTATGTGCAGCTTCTGATTCAAAGCAAACTTTTAGTACAGTGAAAGCAACTTGGCTTTAAATTTGTCTCTTTAGCATAAACTCTAGATCAATTTATAAAATTTTTCTAAATGAAAATTATGAATACACTATGTATATACTATTTTATAAATAACCTTTATTCCTCCATGGTTATCCGGAAAAAAACATCAATTCAAGGAGGCACCAAGGAATGGTATATAGATGCTGTAGTCTGCTTTTTTCTCCATGTCTTGCATACAAGTATCTTTTCTGTATTATGCAGTAAAAAAAAATCTTGATTTAATAATGCTTATAAAATCATTAAATGTTTCTGAACAAAATATTGACAAGTGTCAAGAAGTGACAAGTAATTAACTGGTATTTTAAAAAATCAATTGGGGTGTGTGAATGTAAATTTCACTGTCATTACATTTACTGTGGGAATTGTTTACATTTTGTTCCACTTTCAATACCTGTTTTGAGTTCCACTGGCATTATAATTTAGGCAGCTGGGTTCTTCCGAGTCTCGACGACAAAGTCCGATTTGATCCATTTCAGAAGAGCGAGTGCCGAGTCAGATGTGATACCGAGTTCTAGCTGTTTAAAATACAATAAAAATAAATATCAAATCTGTTTTTTTTTTCGATAATGATGAAACCAATTAAGATGAACTGTTAGAATCAGGGAAAACATCTCAACTTCAACTTCGAGATGGTTATTGTTAACTTGTACACAATGTCTACTTTCACTTTCGAATTTTCTCCGTATCGTACGTAGGGAGGCAGTACAGCTGTACCGGTAGGCTTCAGTGTTCAAACAAATTTAACCAACTGAACAATAAATAGACCTAATAAAAATAGTAATGCTGATATACAAATATCCAACATAGCAGAGATCTGGCACTTCGTTCACAGCCTACGACACAATACCGCAGTGAAAAAGCCTAAATAGGCCATACTACAACGTATCGATATACATACAGATACACTGTACATAAAGTTCAAACATTTAGGGACCTCTGAAATACGAAAATCTCAAAAACGTAATAATATGTTCTACGGTGCGACCGTTGGGGCGAGCGCAGTTATTTACTATCAAAAACTGACACAGCATTTACTTGCACTGCCTAAACTCAGTTCATTTAAAAAGAAGAAAAGAATTTTAAACTAGATACGATCTCGTTGCGAGCAACGAGAGGTCTTCTGTCCGTTTTAGGAAAAGAAACCCACGTAAAATCGAGCTGAAAAGTCACAAGGAGGATGGAACCCATGTCGCCAACGTGAATGCGCTTTTTTTTTTTTACTTTTTTATCCTCAACGCGCTAACCATTAAGCTATTGAGAGTACTGCTCTAAACATACTTGTGTATACTTTTGCAACAGTTCACCTGTCTAAGAATTATAAAAAGCATTCATAATTTCGCGCCAAACGCCACGAGTAAATATTCGCGCCTTTTCTTTGGACTGATCTATTAAATAAGTATGATAGCTTCAATTAAATTTTAAAAATAAAACATTCTTAGCGCCTTTATTTTATTTCGACGTTAAGAAAGTATATGTAACTCATTATACACATTACATATTGTATCTAGCCCAGTTACACTAAAGCAGTGAAACGGAAATTAAGTTTTAAGATTGACACTCAATTGCAACTTACTACTGTAATGTGTCGGACCTGAGCGGTCAGTAGGTCCGTGCTCGGATTACCGAGTTTTAATGGGGATATGATTGAATGCAATATTTACAGATAATAATATGACACCTGCCTGGTGTCTTTAAATCAAATGACCTAAGTGCTTTGTACACTTATATATCTTCAGTTAATACCGGCACCTGCCTGGTGCCATATGACAATTGCCTCACCATACAACTGACTATATAAGTCAACAGCCACCTGCCTGGTGCCTCTTGATTTAGCCTTTAACACATGCCTGGTGTCTTACTGCTTACCAAGTTGCCTATATAACTCTAGCCAAGTAGCTACAATATACTTACACACTATTTAACTTTGTAAGAGCTTCTCTGTCCTAATGACAAACCTATAGCCAACGTCACAAAGCTATGTTTTAACTAGTCACTGACTACAGCAACTTTGCACAATCCCAATTGATCGATATACTAATTGGTTTCTGTACCAAAGTGACGACACACGCCAATTGGCTGTACTGCCCCCTTGTACCTCAACTTAATCAATGATCAAAAGTTATCAGATATCATATTGATAAAATACCA